ACTGGACGTAGTAGGCAGTAAATACATGAACCTAGTAATAATTGCTAACGTTCATTGAATTCTTACCAAATACTCAATTCATTGATATGCTTTTTATATGCTATCTCATTTGGTAATTACCTCTTCCTGGGATGGTGTGTCCTGATTTGTGTGGGTCAGAAAGGGTAGCACCCCATTTCCTCCAGCTCTGTGAGCCTGCTCCATCTACTCTGGCCACTTTTGCTTTGATGGTTGATAATTTTGGTTAATGCCTTGTTGTTAGGATTTCCATTGTTTCCCTTTTATTTTGATCCTTAAGGACCCTGGTGCTGATGCACACTTGGTACTTTGTGACACTACATTTTCATCCTTTGTTCAGTGCTGTCAGCATAGTTTTTGACAGCATCTCACGCAATCTGTCAGCTCCTTCTGAACCCACGACTGCCTGCTCATCAGAGCCAAAATGTTCAGTGACTTCATTTCAGTGAGTCCTCTACTGTCAGCCTTCATTTTATGCAAGATTGTGGGTGCTCAATCATTGGCCTACCCAGGAACACCATGATCTACACTTTGGAGCAATTATTCAATTTGGGGCAATTACCCGTAGGTGTTCTATAAAGCAAAGATGTTGCCAGACTGTGACTGCATTTTGAAATAGCAATATCCAAATCGGTTAAGGAGCCACTTCTTCATGCGTGCAAGGCTGATCTCAGTCTGTCGTCACTGGAGGAAGTGGTGACCCTTTCTTTCCACAGCAAGCTGGGTTTTTATTGCCTCGTATCCTACAAGCAGTCACCTACTTTTTGTGAGTGTTTTCAATATGGAGACAAATAATAGAATTTAGTTTTGGTAGAAGTCACCATTTGTTCTCTTTCAACTCTCTGCTCTCAAAATTTACTTGCCTTTATAAATGGAAGGAATCACTTTAATCCTTTAGGAATTAGAGGACACATTAAATAATATCCAGATAAGGGATTTATTCATTCATTCACCTATTCATTGAGCTATCCTCTCTAACTTAGTGATTTAGAATATGACTTTTAGAATTAGGCTACTTAGGTTACTAGATCTGCACTTACTAGCTGTGTGACTTAGAAAATTTACTCTGTTTTCTCTAAATCTTAATATCCTTGGGTGTAAAATAGAATTTAGGGTTGTTGTGGGATGAAATAAGGACACGCTTTTAATGTAATTAATTCAGATCATGCTCTGTGGATGCTGGCTCTTATTTATTATTTTGCACTTGGAGTTAGACCTTGTATTATAAAGAATAAGTGGACATAGCATATTACTTGTTTTTTGTTTCACTCTTAATAATTCTCCAAATTTTCAGCCCTTTGACTCATACTAGGTACACTTGTTTACCCCTCAATAACAAACAAATTGCTAGAGATTACATATTCCTAAAAAGGGGACACATCTTGAAAATGTATGACATCTTTTGCTTTTAAAAATACATTTCAAAAAAATATATTTCAACTCAAATAAGCAGAGTTTGGATTGTGGAAAAGGAGGTGAAAAATAAAGTAGCATTAATGGTGGCTTAGAAGAGTGAAGAGTGGTTCTCTTAGCATTTGCATCTCGTTGGCTAGGAGGCTGTGCTGAGGCCCCATTGCTTGCACTCATGTTATCATTCTGAAACCAGCCTACTTGTAGTGCCCCACTTTTAAACTGACCGACAGCTGCTCTGTGGAAGCTTCCTATAATTTAATGACACCTCTAATTATATTTCTAAATAAAAATAAGTCTTATTTAAAAGAAAAAATATTTTAAAATATCTAACTAAGGTTACTTCCTTTACTGTCCTCTTAGGAAATCAGGATACATTTTGTAGTGCAAAAAATAACTTGATAGAATAACAAGTTTTTCCTGATTTCCAACAACTCAGATGTCTGTAAGTATCTTATTTGTTTGCATAGTCTGGCCACTCTGGTCTACTTTAGTCTAAGGCTTATGAAGTCTTCACTTGTCTTGATTTTTATGAGTAAAGTCTAGAACTTCATATAAGCAGATATAGTAAAACCTTACTATTGTGAACTTGTTTAAAGAATTTACATATATTAAATATAAATTCTTCTGGTAACTGAAAGTTTCTTCTTTAGCTTCCAAAAATTTAAATTTTTGAAAACATTTTCATTTAAAACACACGCTCTGCTTCCTTCTTAAGCACAGTATTTTAATATGATGTAATTCGTAATTCACTAATGTTGCTGGATTATCATTATTGATAATTGGAGGGTTGTTGGCTCCCCCAAGTGGGCTAAGATAGCTATGCGTTTTATTGGTTTTTTAAAAAATATATCTCCTAGGTCTGTGAGATCTAATATTTTAATTCTGACAACTGTTTCCACAGCCTATCTATCCCTAACCCCATGTAGCACATACTTTGTCTTATAGTTTGCTACTTCTAATATCTATAAACTCTAAAATCATATCACCAAACCAATTAGAAGTATGTGTAAAATAAAAATTTGGGCCAGGTGCCGTGGCTCACACCTGTAATCCTAGCGCTCTGGGAGGTCATGACAGGACGCTTGGTGAGGCCAGGAGTTCAAGACCGCCTGAGCAAGAGCAAGACCCCATCTCTACAAAAAATAGAAAAATTAGCCACACGCGGGGGTGCACACTGATAGTCCCAGCTACTCGGGAGGCTGAGACAGGAGGACTGCTTGAGCCCAGGAATTTGAGGTTGCTGTGAGCTGTGATGATGCCACCATACTCTATTCCAGGCAACAGAGTGAGACCCTGTCTCAAAAGAAAAAAAGGTTGAACAAACAAAGTTTTCTTTTGGTGTTTGTGAAAGCTATTTTGGATGTTTAGAGATCTTTACTTTTTTTTACTTCTAAGTTCTTGTTCGTGTTTTGTATACCTCAATTGTCTAGTGGTTTGATTTTGAGATAAGAGTAGAAAAGGAGTCCTTACTGTAATTTAATGATGATTCCACAAATTGCTCTAGTTGGGTCCATAGGGGGAAAAAATCAATCCTGGAAAATTTGGTGTAGCTAATATAGTTTAATCATTTGGTCATCAAATAAGCACCTAGTATGTATCTTACGTCAGTACTCTGTGGTGAAAATGTCACTAGACTAAACATCAGGAGGTTTGAGGGCTGATCCCCCCAGCCTGCTACTAATCACATCTATTAATATAACCCTGGGCTAGTCACATTCATATTCTGAAAAATGAGAATCATAGTACAGGTTGTTAGGAGAATGAATGAGATTTCACTATTCCTGTGAACGTAGAGAGTTGTGGGGAAACATTTGACAGGGAGGTTGAGAATACAGCTAAGTTGGTTGAACATGGAGTGGAGTTTCCAAAGAGTAACATGAAAGGATTTGGGAAGGAGAGGAGGAGTGGGAAGCTGGCTTAGGAGAAAGGACCAGAGCGTTATGAAAATCAGAAAACTAGAGATAAGAGAGGCTTACATTTTGAGCAGTGACTGAAAACAAGACCTGGAGACATGGGAGATTTAGTCCCGATGGCAGGTTGATAAACACTCAGGTTGTGAGAATTCGCTGCTGACTAGCAGTTGTGATACGGGGTGGACAGAAGGTGAGGGCAGGACAGCAGGTCTTTTATATCTTAGCCTGCACATTTTTGTGGCAGGCGGGCAGCAGCTAGTGGGTGAGAACTCAAATTTAGATTAAGAAAGTTAATTTTGTTTAATTGTAACCCAAGTTTTTTGACCTACAGTAGTCTCCTTTATTTTCTCTAATTGGTAAATTGTAATCAAAACCAGTCTAGGATCCTTGCTTGGTATGGTGATGACCAATGTCAATTTGTTTTTGTTTTCTGGCCTGATTATACTTACTTCCAACTGCTTTTGGTTTTTTAAAGAATTAGCTGCATAAACCCCAAACCAAAAATATTTGGTTTATATTTTAACCAACCAAATATTTTGTGTTCCTCATTCATCCCTTCCACCATTATGTCATATTTCTGGTATCTGAACGTGAAAGGATACATTAGCAAACCATAACAGGAATGCACTCTAAGTATCTAGGCCTAACCTTCACTTCCGGAGCAGTTTTGGAGACAGAAAATCATGAGTTTGTTATAAGTTTTTTGCATGATACATTTGACACGGCTTCATATCCAAAAGGCAGATTCTGTGACCAAGATGAAGAGGACACATTAAACAGACCCTGAATTTATGGGAGATGCTAACTCATGCTTGAAAGATCTTTCTTCTCGTGCATGACGACTTGCGTGGCAAGGAAACAGCACATTTTGTGGCAACCTTATTTCTGATTCTGTTGTCTTGATCATATAAGATTCACCGTCTCTTGAATTTAATAGCTCAACATCTCTTTCAGAGGCAGTGGGCTGAACCCAGATTTCAAAATTCAGTTGCAACATGGCTTCTTAAGGAACTGATTAGTTTGTTTATTCCTAAAGAAATATTGCTCTGGTTTTCGGGAAAGAAAAGGAAAAGGAAGTCTGGCAGATAACCCCCTGATTACCACCTCTAGTTGTATAAATAATACTTGAAATAAGCACTAAGACAAGTAACAAAAAAATAAGAACAGTAGTAGAAATACAGTGCGCTACAACTCCTCTTATGCAATCTGTGCCACTCATCAGCGACACTATTTGTCTTGTTTTGTTTTGTTTTGTCTGCCACTGCCAATTTAACTGTAGCATCCAGAAGTCCAGACTAGGATTAGGAATTTCAACAAATAATTTTAGACGTCTGCATCATTCTGCCAGCTTGAGCAAGGAACTTGACTTTCACAAACCTTAGACACGTGCAAATAATCCAGAAATGGATTGAAAGAAAATAACTTATTTTAAAAATGATAATTGTATGTGAACATTGAATAAATAGCACCTAAAATTTGCAATAAGCCACTCAGAGAAGGAAAATACCTTTTAAAAAACTTCATGGTTTATTATTGTATGTGAAGATGAAAATAATTAGGAATTTTATTAAAGATATATGAAAGTCTTGGGAAAATACTTAATAAAATAGTACTAGATGTTACAGTATTGATTTTCACTTCCTTTTTCTATTTCAGGGTTTGAACATAATCTTTCACGTAGCCTTGGCTCTCCTAAAGGTAAGACTATTTTTATTTTAAGTTACCAAACTATCTTACCTCTTTGCCCTTGGGACTGGAATAATTCAATTTACAGCCTTTGATTCGTTCTAGGTTCTTGAACACAAAAAAAAGATGACTTCTCTGAGAAACTCTGATCCTCTCCCCAACTTCTCATCCTTGTTTGTTGTTATTTGGAGTTTTTTTTTCTTATAATCTATTTAATTTTGTTACTGTGGCACTTCTTTCAGTAATATAAAAGATCTCTTTTATTCGTATGAGTTGGACGATATAAGAGAAAAATTAAAATGTGTTTTCTGTCAAAATGATGCCAGCTTTTTGCTTAAAACATTTTTTACTCTAATAATATCCCTGGAGGTACCTAAACATGTAATTGAATTATTAAAAAGCTTCTATAATATACTGACTAAAAAGGAAACTGCTACATTTCAATTTGCAGTTATTTCCCTGCTAGCTGGAAATTTATAAGACACTTTAGAGTTCAATTATAATTACCTTGTTGGATTTTATATCAGCGTGTTAATACAGCTTTAACAGCGTGGTAACAGCAAGACATATGCTACAGAGTTGGTGAAAATAACCCAGTCAGTTCTTGGCCTTCAATCAAAGAAGACATTCTGTTATTAAAGGCAGTGATTTCCTTGTTTATAAAAAGATACAAGCTTACCCGTCCCTCAGTATGACATAGTGGTTAAAATTGCAGACACTGGACTCAGACAGATTTGGTTCTAATTTCAGCCCTACTGTTTGACTTTAAGGCAGATTAAGTGCTCAGAGTCTGAGTTTTGAGATAATAATAGAAACTAATTTATGGGATTGTTAAAAGCGTTAAATAGGATGATACATAAAAGTCCTTAATGTAGTGTCTGGAAAATTCTACTGCCTGGTAAATGTCAGCTGTCATTATTGTGACTATTGTTATTCACAAGGTAACTCATAATGTGTTCCTAGATACCCCATCATTCTTCCCAGTCCCTCAAAAGATGATGACTTGATATCATAGCAGGGCCTCTTTGTATCTTAGGAGAGCCTTGATACTTAACATTAGCATAACTTGATTCTAAACAAAAGCATGAAATAGCATGGGCCCTCTGCAACTCAAGAAACGGGTTGCTGCCCCTCATCTTTTATTCTGGTAAACATTGGCTTCTTGTGAAGTCCGTAAAATGCGCTTTATTCATTAAACCATTTGGTATTTACATAGGAACAATTCTTATCCTAAAGTTATTTTAGAAGTTAGGAAAATATTTAAAGTATTTTAAATAAAATAAACATATTTGCTTATGTCTTTTAATGAAATCATGGATCTTGACTTCTAGAATTTTTTTTTTCTTTCGTTGAAACAAATCAAAACCGAAAGCTCTCTAACATGCCCTCTCCACAAGGCTGGAATGAGACTTCTGGAATGCCTGAGCATCAACGATATTATGTAATTCAGACTAAAAACAATACTAAACAATAAAGTAAGTGTAAGCGAAGTCCAACAAAGATCTGATTTTTCCTGTCATATCTGTTTTTTAAAAAACTCTTGGATATTACATGTTTCCCAAAATACCTTTCTTCATTTCTTTGTGACCCATCTTTACTGGTGCTCTCACCCCATGCTTAGTTAATCTCTCGGGTGACCCATGACCACCTCTCCAGATATCAGGCTCATAGTCTGTGTCAGCTTGATACTGCATATGTCGGTTAGTTATCTTCTTGATTGGCATGTTGGCTTGGTTGTATTGTCATTTATTTTGGCTGTGTTAACCCAGACAAGGCCTGTGCAGAGGACATTCTCTGGCCACTGGGCAGAGAGGCTTTTTGTATCTTCTCTAGCAGTCCATGGACACCCTTCTATCATCTTGGAGAATTTGACTCATTAGAGAAGATAAAAGGAGAGCCTTCTCACCACTAGTGGCCTATATTTAACTTCCTTGTATGAATTCTGAAGCCGACCTCACACAGAGACAGTGTATATAGGGCTGAACTGAAGTGTACTCCAATGATCTCATTGCCCCCACCTAGAAAAAAGAACAGCCAAACACATATGACAGTGACTAACTTTCAGCTTTAATCTGGTATACCAGATAAAATAATGTATATTTCTTCATATCAAAATAAAAAGCCAAGGGCAGTGGCATGCACCTGTAGTCCCGGCTACTCTGGAGGCTGAGACCAGAAGCTCGCCTGAGGCCAGGAGTTCGAGGCTGCAGTGCACCGTGATCATGCCTGTGAATAGCCACTGCACTCCAGCCTGGGCAACGCAGGGAGACCTCGTCTCTAAAAAATAAAGAATATATAAAAATAAAACCTGGGAAGTTCAAAGTGCTTATGAACCTAGCTTAAGTGATTTTCAGTCTAGCTACAGAGGGATTTTAGATTTCTCTGTATTAGAAGCATTTGTTGTGAACAGGGGACTCCCAGAGAGACCTAACATTTCTTGAGCATTTAGTCTGTGCTAAGTACTAACATAGGTTATCTCATTAAGAAACATTAAATGCCCAGGTGTTACTTGTAGACTAGTAAATCGTGCTAGCCAGAGAAAAACGTCTGATTCTCCCCCACCCAGATGATAATTTGAGAGAACTGAGACCCAAGATTGCCAAAGTCTTTTGTCCGTTTATAAATCAAAGCTGGACTTACAATTTTTTTGACAGCATAGACATGGGACGAATGTCTCTGTTTCTCAGTTTGGTTTAAAGACACCAGCTTTCTGAGTGGGACCTACTTCTTTTGGGTTAGTGATAGCCTGCCAGTTAGCTAGAAAGCTGTTGTGCTAAAAGAATGATTCCCTATACTAGGTAGCACTATCAAATTACTTAGTGTCCAGTAAGTAGGTCAGACATAATCTCCCAAATCTATTTTATTTATTATATGAAACATTGAGTAGTTACAGCATAATTCATTTAATAGATTGGAGCTAGATTAGTCGGCATTTGTCTTAACCACTTCATGGTGGGCAGAGAAATTTTTTGATCAAAATATATTCTGTGCTTTCTGACTGTGATTAAAAGCAAGGGACAGAATGTTTTTCTCCCTCCTTCCCCAAGTATTATATGTTCATTTTGTGTCTTATGTGTGGATATAAACATTACAGAGATAAAAAACACCCACTCTTCATCCCATCCCTAGGGATAACCATAATAAAAATTTGGTATAAAATCTTCCCCCCATGCTTTAGTCTATGAATATGTAAATATGCATTACTGATCTATATACAGATGTATGTATCTATATTTTTTAATGAGGGTTTGAGTATTACAGACAAGAAGATGAGGAAATGGCAGAGAAATCCAACAAAAAAAAACAGTATAAAAAGATGAACATATTTTTTTTCAAACAATGCTATTGACGAATACTCTTTTTCATTTAATATGTCACAAATATTTTTCCATGTTACTACACACATGCAGTAGTTAAAAGCATGTGGACACTGGAGCCAGACTACTTAAGTTCAAATTCTATCTCCAACAGTTTTTTCAAAGATCTTAAGTAAATTACAGTTCTCCATTTGTTAAATGCGGGATATTAGTAATATTTGTCTCATAGGATTTTTGTTAGGGTTTAATGAGTTAATATACGATTGGTGCTTAGAACTCAAGTACTACAGTGCACCCAGGTGCTATTGTTAGACATAGTACTTCCTTATCCTTTTTAATGACTATTTTTTATCCTATTATGTACCATAATTTATTTAACCAATTATACATTTAATTTTTATGGACATTTGTTTCTAGACTTTCCTGTTAAACAAAACTGCAGCAAACATCCTTAAACTTTCATCTTTGCATACTTGTCTAATATCTTTTGGATAAGTTTATAGAAACGGAATTACTAGATCAAACTGTGATCACATTTTAATTTTTGATACGTATCACAAAATTCTTCTCTACCAGCAACGAGAGTATATTCTCCCATACTCTTCAAAAACCAGAATTTCTAAACAGGAACTTTTATGGACATTGAAAACAAGTTGTAAAACACAGCAGTTTAAAAGTAATTATTATAGTAATTTGTTTCATTGTAAATAAATAAAACTCTTCAGACTGTTTTGAAGAGTCCAGTATTAATTTCTTGTGTTTGGGAACATTCAGTTCTTTTAGGGAAGCCAGATGATTATGGCTAAATTTTGGAAGAATAGGCCTTCTCTTAGCTTAGAGGGGCTTTGTATATTATATAAAAGTTCTGAAGTACATCTTTGATGTTTTTGGCTTTTCATCCCCCTTCACTGTGTTTTTTCCTTACCATTCCATTGAAGCTGTTTTGATGAAGTCACTAATAAAATCTATGGACATCTTTCCATGTTTATCTTAATCCCCCAACAGTTGTCAGAACAGTATAACGACATAGACACGTAACACTTTCTTTTTTCTTTTCTTCTTTTTTTTTTTTTGAGATAGGGTCTCACTCTCTTGCCCAAGCTGGAGTGCAGTGGCACAGTCACAGATCACTATAACCTCAAAATCCTGGCCTCAGGTGGTCCTCCTGCCTCAACCTCCCAATACTGGGGTTACAGGCAAGAGCCACTGCAACTGGTCTTTCTTTTAAAAAAAAATCTTCCCTTGGCTTCTGCCATATCTTTTATCTCTCTGTCTACTACTTTTCATTTTCCTTTCCTCACTCCTTTTTTCCTAGCCATTAACTTGAAGTTCTACAGAGCTCTGACTCTGGTAAGTTTCGTATTGCTTCTCCCTGGCTGACCCTGTGAGTTACCCTGGCTTCATCTATAAATGTTTACTCCCATCTTCATATTTAGTCCAGACCCAAATATTTGGCCGTAGACTTAACATGTCTGCGTAGATGTTTCACAGACAATAAAAAGTCAAGACTGAACTCGTGAGCCCTCCCCAATGTACTCTTCCTCCAATAACCTTCACTTCAGTAAAGGCACTGCCCACCTGCTCAAACCAGAAACCTGAAGGTTATCGTTAACTCTTTTCTTTTCTTAATACCCCATATCTCCTAAGTTGCCAATTCCTGTGGATTCCACTTCTTGAGAATTTTTTCATCTTCCC